AATCTTAGTAATTACACTGTATTATATAATATTATTGGCTCAAATTCTATTTAATCTCATCATTCAACTTATCTAATTACAAACTAATCACAAAATTGAAGATTTCCGCCCATATGATCTTTTGATATTTTCTGTTCAAGCGTATAAGCGTAAATTTTTTAGTTTTATTTTAGAGAAATTGACTTTTCAATTAAAGTATCGGCGAAGAATTACAACTCTAATTACGGCTGAATTCATAAAAATAAAGGTTATACGTAACGATAAGTCCTACTTCTGTTCCAGTTATAGGTGAATTCAGATCATATGAAAATTCTATGTATCTTGGGCATCGACCAATAAAAAAAATAGATTAGGTAATTATCTTCGTTGGTCCATTTTGAAGGACCGAATATATCGCAAATCGCAAACCCTAAAAAAAACAATTGCCATTTTAAAAAATTCATATACAGTAGGGGTATATACAAAGTTTTTTGAATTATTAGTTTGACCAGAGCATAATACGTAACAATCTACGTACGTATTTTCAAATTTGAAACAAATGAGAATATAAAATTATCATTTTTAATAAATTTAGTTTGAAACTACGTAGTAAATTAACTCATTTTGATTGAATGACGCCCATTTATAATTTTTTTGTATAGAAATAGAAGTCCTGGTCCTTGCGTTCCCTCGTTCCATATACAAATACGATCAATATGATACGTGTCCAAAGACCCGCGATCCTGGGGTAGTTACACATATCTGCATGTCACATATTTAAGTTATTATTACACAATTCTAAAAAAAAACTGAACTTGGTTTGGTTTAGCTTTGAGTAGTGTTATGATTTAATGTTGAAACCGTTTTCATAGTTGCATTCACCTAAACATGACTGAAGCTCGAAGAAATATACCTTCGTTTACTACTGTTACGTCAACCTTCAAGTCTTATATTTTATCACTGCCACTATTGACAACTACGATTTCTTGTCTAGCAATTTTATTGTATACACTCGGCGCTTTCTTGTTTAGTGGGAATCCCATATTCGACGCACTTTGTCTTTGGCCACAACAATTTTTTGAGGGACAAGGTATTTTACTCGTATCTTTTATATGAGTGACGCCAAGAGATACAATACCATGGTTTTTTTTGGCCTCACTCATTTCTAATGTCACTTACTCTAGTTTTGTCTTAATCACAACACTATAATAATGTTTCAGTGTGGCGTCTCTTGACATATCCTTATTCACACAGTTCTCTTGGACATTTACTTTTTAATCTTTTGGTATTTTTGCCATTGAGTACGGCGATTGAACATACAATTGGCACCGTTGAATATTCTTATGTGTTGATCACAGTTTTTACCGTACTTTCGGGTTCTCTTTATTTGTTGGGTTCGTTGATTTTCCAATACAAAGGACTTGAAATAGGAGGATTGAGTACTTGGGTATTTGGTGTTGTAGTATGGGAAAGCAG